GGCTGATTGGAGCATACTTCACTAAACTCATGGATGGACTTTCGGCAATAGGACCAATTTCTTATTGAAAGAAATGAAAGGACCAAAACGAACCAAATCAGTCACTAAATGGATTTGTTTAGTTGAGTTATGCTACTAGTTTGAAGTCTAAACCGAACCAATTTGAATCATGATAATTAACTGCTTAAGTTATAAATTCCTTGCGGGTTTTTGCGACATAAACTGAATCAACCCGGACTCCACACAACCCTTAGAGGGCTTTTTTAGGTTGAGATCCATGGCTTTGCAGCCTAGCATGATGGATTTGTCTCTACAAATGTGCTTGGGCTTGACCCAAAACCCGCATTAGCCCTGTGGGTTTAGGTTAAAAACCTAAAGCAATGGTTCTGAAAAACAAAAAGCAATGGTAAAAAGACACTCAATTTTGACAAGACTAGCATTATAAATTTCGAGGAACACGAGTGGTCGTGAGTGCGCATGAATGGTTGTCAATCACGAATCTGATTTTTCAAGCCTTCGTTGTCACGAAAAGCACTTTCTCTGGGATTTTTAAAATTGAATTATCTCCGCAGTTTTCACCGGCTGTTTCACAGCAAGTCCATGTCTTGGAAAGATTGCTTCTGAGTCAGACATTCAAACTCATAGACGTTGAGAAAAGAAAAAGCTAGCATCATCACATAATATTATAATGCATATTGGCATATCAAAATCAATATAATAAATAATACAATAATAAAAAGTTCCCTTTGTATTGTACTATATAACAATGTTTTCTACTCTTTATTTGGACGTTTCTCGATGATTTCATCTCTCCTCTGCAGCTTTACAGGAACTTAAGCAAAGGGAGCCTCTTACTCTCAGCAGAGATTTCAATCTCTTGGTAGTATTTTCTTTTTTTCAAATGTACTTTATTATTAATCTGCTTCTTAGTAGCTAGATCTTGGTTTCTTTATCAGTGAATTAGATTTTGTGACAGATTAATAATGTCAGGCTTGGACCCTGATCCTGATCCTGATGCACCAACCAATGCAAGTCCAGGTGCGCCACCCTCGGCGCGGAGGCCTCGGGGCCGCCCTCCCGGCTCAAAGAACAAGCCCAAGCCACCAATCATAATCACTCACGACGCCCCAAATGGGCTCACGTCTCATGTTCTAGAAGTTTCTTCCGGTTCAGACATCGTTGACTCGTTGGTGACCTACGCCAGCCGACGCGGCAGAGGAGTTTGTGTGCTGAGTGGCAGCGGTGCGGTGACA